GAGCGGGAACCGGTCTCCACATGGGATCCAAACCCTCGGCGGGAGCGCCACTGTGCTCCCAAGCGGCGCACTCTCCAGTGCACCACCGGGCCGGCCCTACTTATGTTTATGTTGTACAATTTTTAGTTGAGATTACTGAAACGTGGACCCCTTAATCTTTAATAGTTTATTATATGCCCTCTCTCATAAATTAACTAGCACGTACCAATTGGATGGCTGATCACTTAAAAATAGTACTCTGCCAAAATATTGTTTTTCTTTTCTACTATCATACTCAGAATTGTGACATTCTGAGTAGATTTCCGGGGGGAAAGTGTATAATAAATATAGACTTTTAAAGCAATTTCTTCGGTATTGGGAAGAATTACTGTTAAATTTGTCACAGCCACAGTTCTTTTATTGCTGCTGTTTCAGATATGTCCTGTCATCCTTTAGAAGAAGAAGAAAAAAAGATGAAATTACTTACTTTGAGCAATTGATTAATTCTTCTTTCATAGTAGAAAAAGCCTCTAGAACCTATCAGTAAGCTAACTTTACATCTTTTGTATTAATTATTTTGAACAATTGAAAGAGTTAGCACTAGAAAATTTATTCTTAACAGGTTCTCAAAGAACCAGCAGTTTCTCAACCAAAAATTAAAAGTAAAAGTAGTGTACAGGGGAAAAACTGAACAAAATGTTGTATGATTGTTAACAAGTTCCTTCATCTATATGAGAAAATAGTATCTATCTTCCTAAGGGTATTGTTTCCATTAAATGAGATATGGGCGCGCGCACGCGCGTGTGTGTATAAAGTACTGGCACAAGTCGGCACCTCGGTTGGTGCTCGGAAGCTGGAGGAGTAATTACAGAGTTCAGATAGTCTGTGTTCTACTTAGAATAGAGGTGAATCCCAGTGCTGCTTTGAAACTGACCAAGGATCCTGATGTACTTCCAGAATAGAATGCTTTGAGATTGGACTAGAGCTCATGACCACTCTAAATTTGAGTCTCACCACATTCCCTGAATAATGCTGGTAATCAGGTCATTTTATATAAAAAAAATCTACTTTTCTCTTGTTTTTTTTTTGGACTTCTTTTGTGGTGAATAAATCACTTATCCCAGGTGAGGAGAGCAGAATTCATTTTTAACTTAAATTTGAAAGCTTCAAATATTCCCTTTAGTTTTTGTTAATATGATATTAATCTCAACTGAAATAAATACTACTTCATAACTGGTTTTCATAAGCATTCACATTTTATTGTAATATAGAATATAGGCTTCTCACTAGTTTAAATCAATCACACATATAAAAGAAATTATTTGCCAGATTTGTTTTCATAAAGAAGTATTTTTTGAGTGCTTACTACGTGCCAGGCACTGTTTGAAAGGTTTTGTTTATATTAATACTCATTTAACCCCCCAATGAAGTAGATACTCTTATTGATCCTATTTTACAGATGAGGAAAGTGAGACATAGAGGACTTAAGTAATTTGCTCCTAAGTTCACACAGCAGAGTGGAGGGATGGCTATTTGTTATAATTCATTTATTGCTAAAACATCCTAAGAGTTAATTTGGAGAAAAAGGAGTATTCCAAAGAGATGAAGTCTGCATTGGCTTTTTTTTTTTTTTCCTTTTTGTCTTTTTTTTCGTGTCCGGCAACGGATCGCAACCCTCAGTGTCACGCCCGTACCGGACCGGGACCGGCAACGGGATCGCAACCCTCGGTGTTGCGCCCACACCTCGCTCAGCCAGTGAGCGGGAACCGGTCTGTATGTGGGATCCGAACCTTCGGCGGGAGCGCCACCACACTCTCAAGCGGCGCACTGTAGCAGTGCGCCACCGGGCCGGCCCTGCATTGGCTTACTACCATGTAAATCAGACAAGACTTAGAACTTTAACTACTGGGTTTTCAATAAGAAATTTCAGGCTGCTATCTGTCTCAGCAAAAATATATGTGTATTTTTATCTGCTTGTGTAATAATGCCTCCTTCCATGGGAGGAAACAGATTTGTGAAGCATATTATTTGTTGTTGGTCCCAGAAAATGAAATGCCCTTTGTTCGTCCTAAGAAGGTATAAAGCATCTTATAAGTCTATTTGTATAGTTATAAATATGCAAAATTTTGCTTAATTCTTTGCTAAGGAATTATTTGGAGAATTTATAGAAATTATGAAGCTAAGATTTATGAGCCAAAAAAGGCTATGATTTATTTCATACACCTTTCAAATGTCATTCAAGAGCAAGTGAATAGTTATAAATATGCAAAATTTTGCTTAATTCTTTGCTAAGGAATTATTTGGAGAATTTATAGAAATTATGAAGCTAAGATTTGTGAGCCAAAAAAGGCTATGATTTATTTCATACACCTTTCAAATGTCATTCAAGAGCAAGTGATTATCATGTAACTTATTAGTCCAGCTCAGTATTGCCTAATAAAAATATTTAGAGAGCATAAACTGTAAGATGTGATGAGAATGGAAAAAATTTATTCCTATTTAGAAAACATTCTAGTAGGTGGTATGGTGCATAGGGACTCACATTATAGAAATCTTTTAAATAATCACTGTGTATGTTTTTTATCAATTTGTTTTGCAGCGCAAGACTCATCAGTTTTTTGTAAAATCTTTTACTACTCCTACCAAATGTCATCAGTGTACCTCCTTGATGGTGGGTTTGATAAGACAGGGCTGTTCATGTGAAGGTAAGAACAAAATGGAGAGAAAATGTCACTTTAAAGTCATAACATTTACTACCTAAATTGTAACCAAATAACTTTATTCTCTTTAAAAGGCATATAAGTGTGTGTTTTACTTTATCATTTGCTTTTCTTTCGATAACAGGATGGAGATAATAAACTGAGCACCTTGTCTGTTGAGTGTGAGAGAAACTGGGCAGATATCCTCTAGAAACATTTTCCAGGGGAGATATATTTAAATGTGTTTCATTCATCTTTGTTTCATCTTTCACGTGAATTTGTGGTCCCATAAAATCCATTAACCTACATGACAGAAAACATGAAAGTTATCCTTGAATCTATTTATTTAATTTTAACCTTGTTTATTATATTAGACAAATTATTATTGAAAAGTAGGCAACAGGGTACCTTTTCAGAAATATTAAATGTCTGCCACTATGCCTCAAAAGGTTTTATTCCTAATAATAGACGTTTTTTCCTACCCATTCATTGACTCAACCATTGCATGCTCATGGAAAGCTTGCTCTGTGCTTCTCGGCACCAGGGATTCAGTAGTGGATGGGGGCAAGAACATAGGTCCTGCCCTCATGACACCCACATTCTGAGAGATGAGGAAGAAAAGAGCAGGGGTCATTTGAACAGAAAACAAAGTGTATTTATTTGGGCACCACTTTATTTTTCCTGGGACCTCTGAAATGAAAATGATTTAAGTGATAACAGGATATATTGTTTGTTTGTGAATGTTTTAGAATTATACTTTTTTTAATTGAATGAAACTTGCTGCTCTAACACCATCTTATATATGATTTACTCTTTCTTACATATTATGAAAAAGGTAAGAAAATAGTTGCTAGTTCAAATTCTAATACAAGTTTCCATTTCTTAGCTCTTCTACTTCTGGGGTTGGAAGGGACCTTGAAGGGAATGTAGCTGATCCTTGTCAGATGTATGTGTTCCCTCTGCAATGTACTTCCAGTTAGCTTGTATTTGACTACTGTGAGTTAAGGGGAAAGTTAATAGCCTCTTGAGGTGGCAATACGTTATATGTTTGTTTAGTTCTCACAACTAAAGTAAAAGATTCAGATTGCGTTATCTTATGTAGTCCATTAGATACATTAGTTTAGAGCCAAAGGAAATGATCAAGGTTTAAAAAGTAGAGATTTGAGAATTATGAGTGTAGTAGGTCATGAATGTAGATGACATTATCTGGGAAGCACATATGCATTGAAAAGAAACTGAGTACAAGGACAGAGCCCAGGGAAGGAAAGTTAAGAGCAGGCAAAAGGAAAAGACACCCAAGTAATCTGAGACGGAATAGCCTGTGTCATTGATGAGTTGTGACTGAAGCCAAGGAAGAGAATTTATACAGTTTTCAAGTTTGGCCTCATTTTGGTACTTAGCCAGTACTTGTGTATCATTTTAAAATCTGTTTTTTCGTAAAAATCCTGGGCAGCTACCTGGCTTTAGGGTATTTGTCATTTTTTATGCATCAGAATTATTTGGAATTCCATAGTAGGAATTTTTGAGATCTTTCCAGACTCTCTTTCCTTCCAGAGTCTTATACCATGAAATCATGCCTATTTTTTCTTCAAACCCTTTGAAGCCTACCTTATAAAGCTGTGGGATTCATTAGACTATCCCCAGCTTCTGCCTGACAGGCTTTCATAAATGTTATGATAATGTGGCTTCAGCCTCTAAAGATTCTTTCATTTCTATTTCTCCTTGGTTGATTGGAATTACATCCAGTATAGTGTACTTATTTTGTTGCTTCCACTGACCTTTGGAGATAAAATTTTTGCTTGTTAGTAAAACACATTATAACTTACTAGACACTCCTCTTAAATGTAACTTGGGAAGTTTGGATAGTTTTTGACAGTCAATACTAAGCCATCTTGCCTCTCTGTTGGTTTCATAACATCCATCAGTGATATATAATCCATTTCCCCCTTGTGTATGTGTTCCCACAGTAATATCCATTTAGTTCCTATCTTATTCTTTCCCCAGTATTCTCCAGGATCCACCCTTAGAGTAGAAATAGTCTAAATAGATAGTCTTACTCTATAACCCTTCCCAACAAATTTGCTTGTTTTTAAATATTTTAACCTTTAATTCTCACCCAACCAAGTCTCAATGAAACTTATGAATTTATTTTTATTTACCATCTTGTCTTAGAATGTTAAGTTTGCCACATTAATATCAAGTAAAGGTATCGTGGCAGTAGTGTTAGTAATTAGGTGTGCAGCCTCTGAGCCAGACTGACTGGGTCTGAATTCCAGCACTGCCACTTATGAGTTCTGTGACCCTGGGCAAGTCCTGTGTAACACAGGGGTAATGATTGTACCTCTGTTAGATTGTTACAGAAAAATTAAAAGCACTCGGTAAACTATTATTATTATCCTAGTAGTAGTTTTAAGTGTATATAATATTAATAACTGCTAACATTTACCCTTAATTTATACCTTTTTAATCACTGAAAACTTTCATTTTCAAGAAGGATTGGTAAAGTTTGCCAGATGTAGCAAAGATGTCATGTACCTTAATGTCCATTAATGATCCTTGAAAAAGAAAGTTCAGGGCAGATACCAAGTTGCAGTGGGATGAAGAGCTAGAAAGAACTCCAGAAACCACTCTTTTAGGAATTCTAAGTTTAAATGGTGCATTTTATTGACAAGGTTACATGTTTTTTCTGTGAGTTTGCTTCTCATTTTGGTCACTAATAATAAAACAATAGTATTACAAATAACTTTTTAAAATTTACTATTTCTCATTGAAATTCTTATTGGTGAGCAAATAAACTAGTTCCCCAAAGGATAAAATAGTTGTTTGAAATAAAATCAGAGACAGGCATTCATATAGCATCTTATAAGCAATAAGTGCTCAGTGGATTTTCTCTTTATTAAAATGAGTTTTTATCATACATTGTTTCTTTTTTCCAAAGTGTGTGGATTCTCATGTCATATAACATGTGTAAACAAAGCTCCAACTGCTTGTCCAGTTCCTCCTGAGCAGACAAAAGGTCCCCTGGGTATAGATCCACAGAAGGGGATAGGAACAGCCTATGAAGGTCATGTCAGGGTAAGTGTGATAGCTTGGGTTCAGGTGAATCTTTTTAGGTTTATTAATGAATTTAAATAAAATCCAGTCACTTTACGGACGTAGTATTTGACAGAAAATTAAATAAAATCTATTTAGTAATTTTATTTCATCCAGAGTAATGACTTGAAAACAAAATCCTAGCCTCTACTTGGAAATAAATCTAAACCGTAGCGAATTTTTCTCTATTATCCCTATCTTGTGATAAACAGATGTTGAAATCTCCATAAAGGAGTCTTTGGCACCTGATCTTGCTGGAGAGGTACCATATGGTGTTATGGATTATGATGTATTATCAAGGCATAATCTCATTATCTCGGGCAATATTTACAGTGTAAGCTGAATTTCCTCTTACTGCCAATTTGACTTTTATGCTACTTAGAAAGAAAGCCATGAACATCATTTTAATGAATTACTAGTGAGAGTTAAAATGGTACCATTTAAAATTTTATCTGAATTTGCTCTTCAGTGTTTGAAGAGCGTGATCTCACGTTTTCTCATATGTTATTGACTATATACATGTCCCATCTGCTGCTTTACCAACCAGAGTGGCAGATTTATAACATATGGACATTATCTTCAGGTTTTCACCATGCAGTTACGTATGTCATAAAGGGGCTCTGATTGACATTTCATTTGAGTTGTTTTTGTTTGTTTGTTTGCCTTTCCGTGTCTCTAAAACAAAACTAAGATTCCTAAGCCAGCTGGCGTGAAGAAAGGGTGGCAAAGAGCACTGGCCATAGTCTGTGACTTCAAACTCTTTCTGTACGACATTGCTGAAGGAAAAGCTTCTCAGCCCAGTGTGGTCATCAGCCAGGTGATTGACATGAGGTATGCTTTTGAAGATGGGATATTTGTATCTTGCAACACAGGAATTAAAAAGTTTCTGATTTTTCTTTTAATTTTACTGCCATGGTTTTATTTAAATAATTTAATTGCATGTTAGTTTTCTAGTTTACTAATTGCTATAGTAACATAATTAAAAACAGGAAGTAAGGTGCACTTGTAGGACAGGTTGGTATGTTAGTGTGTTGAGTGTGTGGGGTGAGGAGTCAAGGAAAAGAAACTGGTGTTTGAGTCCAGAAGACCAACTTAGAAGTTGCTGGGGTCATGGAGGCTTAAAGCATGATGTTTATATCACCACCTGGAGGCTTAGCATATAATTCCAATGTGAGAAGAGGAGATAAAAATCTCAAAATCAGACAGGCTCTTGGAAAACATAATGAATCAGTAAACGCTTAAGGAAGTACATCTCTTGAAGGTTTCCAGTCTCATTTTTGAGATTCTTCCCCTGCCCGTTGGAGTGCTCTCCTCGACCTCTTCTAACTCTGGGCGCCGTCCCGGAGTGGTCTGTCTTACCCTGTAGCTTCAGCCAGTGCCTCTGCACTGACGACTCCCAGACAGGCACCTCCAGCTCAGATCCTTCCCTGTTGCTCAAAACCACAATTTTCAGCTATGTCTCACATACCATTTCATTTCACACCAGCATCTCAAACATGTCTTCCCCCCAAGTGTGGAGTATGAAGGGACAGATGCAAGAAATAACAGCAAGGAAAGTCTGGCAGAACCTGCTGAGGGGCTGAATATCAAAAGATAGGGAGAGGGGTCAAAGGTAAGACAAGGTGTCGCGTCTTCAAGACCAAGGGAATGGCCGGCCCGGTGGCGCACTGCTACAGTGCGCTGCTTGGGAGTGCGGCGGCGCTCCCGCCGAGGGTTCGGATCCCACATACAGACCGGCCGCTCACTGGCTGAGCGAGGCGCGGGCGCAACACCAAGGGTTGCGATCCCGTTGCCGGTCCCGGTCCGGTACGGGTGCGACACTGAGGGTTGCGATCCACTGCCGGTCACGAAAAAAGACAAAAAGGAAAAAAAAAAAAAAGACCAACGGAATGATGGTACCAATAACAAAATTAAAGAAATCACAGAGAATAAATTATTGGGGAAGAAATCTGTTTTAGATGTTGAGGAACAATAAAGTGCCAGATGAGCTGGGTTGAGGGCCCTTGAGATTTCTTATGGAAGGCAAGAGGGTCTGCTGGAGCCTCTGGATACCTACCAGGGTATAAATCCCAGTCTGCATGTATACTTACTGGCCTGATGGCTTTGGGCAAGCCAGCAATTATTTCTAGCTCTTGCATAATGTACCGCTGTTAACTTAATAAATTACTTTAGGCACTATCAAGTACAATGGGGGAAAATCAAATTTTTTAAAAAATTGGATTTTGGTGTTTGAGGATTGCTTCATATGTTATTTGGATACACAGTCAAGCCATACACAGCCACATATACTAAGTTTTAATGTTTCACTTCTCTTTCAGGGATGAAGAATTTTCCGTGAGTTCAGTCTTGGCTTCTGATGTTATTCATGCAAGTCGAAAAGATATACCCTGTATATTTAGAGTAAGTGTGTGTGCCATAATTCTATCATTGAATAATTTGTTTTTAATGAGTATGTTTTGCCTCTTTTAAAAATCTCATTTCAAAAATTTTGTTTTAATCACCTCTTGTTTTGTAACAACTACTCCATAACTTAGCAGCTTAAACCAACAACGGTTTATTATTTTTCACCACTCTGTGAGTCAGCTGTACAGTTCTTGTTGGTGTCAGCTGGGGTCATTTATGTGGCTGGACTCAGCTCACTTGGGGCTGGAACATCCCAAACTTCCTACTCCCACGTCTGGGGCTTTGGTGCTGGCTATTAGCTGGGTGATCTCAGTTCTCCGCCTTGTGGACTCTCTCTTCATGTGGTCTCTAATCATTCAGTAGCCTGGGTGAGCCCTTGGTGGCTGTCTTCCAGGAGAGTGAAAGAAGCTGCCTGGCCTTTTAAGGACTAGGCCCAAAACAGGCATAATAATGCTTCTGTATTCTGTTGGTCAAAGCACATCATGGAGCTAGCCCAGATTTAAGGGGAGGGGAAAGAGACTCCATTTCTTGGTAAGAATGGAATTCCATAGGAGGAATTATTGGTGGCCATCTTTGGAGGTTTTTTTTTTACCACAATGCAATCTTGAGTTGGTGAATTAATACAATAGAGGTTAAAAACAAACAAAAAAACTGTGGCCCGTGGTTATGCTTATCTGCTTAGTATTTGTCTATGAATCTTGTTTCTGAGGAATTCCAGACAAAGACTATACTTAGTTTCTTAGTTCTCAGATTGACAACTGTTTATTCTCCACCAGCCACCAAGGAGCCAACAGAGAGGCCCACTTACCTACAGCTGATTTTCATAGTGTTATTTTATTGTCACTGCTCCTTAAATCAGTTTTATATATATATAATTTAAATTATATAATTCTGTTCTGATTTGAATGCTATGTGTATGATGGTAAACCTTCATTTAAATACTAGCTCAAGTGATCTAATCTTCTCTAATGATAAGGTGGGTTATTGTTATGAAGTAACAGAATGTAAGAATTTCTGATTTTTTAAAACAAATTGAAAATCAGTATGGTGTAGTGCTTAAAAGCGTAGACACAGGATCCCAGACTTGTAGTTGTCTGCCCTTGGAGAGATTATTTAATTTCCTGTATCACAGTTTTTTCATATGTAAAATAAGGATGTAATAACAATACCTATCTCATGAAGATGTTAAGAGGGTTGAGGAGTTAATACTTGTAAAATGCTTAGGTCTACCTGTTGTTTAGTAATTACTCAATAAGTGTTAGTTGTTGTTATATGAGTATGTGTAATACATGTTTCAGTGATAGTGTGTTGATACTTTTATAGCAAGGAAGATGGAAGTGATACATTTCGAATGGTGTCTGCTACCTATGTTATGAATTTTAGTGTTAAAACTAATTATTCTGATTAGGAATAGCTAAACTCTGTTAAAGGTATCATTTAATGCTCATTTTATTGGTGAGTGCTAAGCAAACTAGCGTAATCATGAAACTAGCATAAGGGGTATCTGTTCTAATATCATGAATATTGATTAAATTGTTCCAGGTCACTGCTTCCCAGCTCTCAGCATCTAGTAGCAAATGCTCCATCCTGATGCTAGCAGATAGTGAGAACGAGAAGAGTAAGTGGGTGGGAGTGCTGAGTGAATTGCACAAGATTTTGAAGAAAAACAAGTTCAGAGATCGCTCCGTCTATGTTCCCAAAGAGGCTTATGACAGCACTCTACCCCTCATTAAAACAACCCAGGCAGCTGCAATCATAGGTATTAATTTATGACGTTTATCATAGTATCATAATTGTTTACTAATCTACTTTGTGAGCAGGGACCGGCTTTCATCTAGAAATCCCCAGTGTCCAGCATAATATGCATTATATCACAGACACTCAATAAATGTTTACTGAATAAATAGAGACCTCTATCAAGTCCTTGTTTTTCAGTAAACAAGAGTAAGTAACTTTCAAAGTGACATTGGCTTTCATCTAGAAATCCCCAGTGTCCAGCATAATATGCATTATATCACAGACACTCAATAAATGTTTACTGAATAAACAGAGACCTCTATCAAGTCCTTGTTTTTCAGTAAACAAGAGTAAGTAACTTTCAAAGTGACATTTTCTTCTGAAAAAGCAACAGTGCTAGAGATTAACCTACTAATCTTTTTTCTGCTTGTTTGACTTAGAATAAGTTAATTTCTTAAAGCATAAGTTTCACATGTAAAATGTAGATGCTAATTACCTTGCTAAGGTTATTGGGATGTTTAAATAAGATGGGATACATAATAAAGAGTGCCCTGCTTATAAAAAGCCCTCAATAAATGTCAGCCTCTGTGTGTGGAAGTTCAAATTTTTGCCATATTCTTACATATGAATCTGACTCTTTTGTTACTTTCTAGTAAATACTGAAAAGTTTAATGAGTAGGGTTGAATTGCCTTTCACAATTTTACCCTCCCAAAACAAGAAATGGAACTGGACCCAGGGCACTGACAAACTAGGTTTTTAATTTTTTTCACCATTTATTGAATAAACATTTGCTTCTTTTTTAGGTATTGATATGAATTATTTTGTAATGATTGTCCTATTTAAAAAGACATGAGGTATTTACCACTGTAATCTGAAAGGAAATTTAACAATGTAAATTGTTACTGTTATATTTTGATTTTAATTTATTGTTTCTATTTACATCTTTGCACCAAATTTTCTTATTACTGGCTTATTCTATTAGCTTTACATGGTTTTTACCTAATAAAAATGTTTCATATTTATGTCTTACATAGATCATGAAAGGATAGCATTGGGAAATGAAGAAGGGTTATTTGTTGTGCATGTCACCAAAGATGGTAAGAGAAATCTTAGTTATTTTGGAGTAATTTTAAATCATGTGTTGTTCGAAGATTCTTAATGCTAGGTTCTAAATTCTAAAACATCAGGATTTGCTCTTATTCTATAACTGAAATTTTTCAGACCTAATTTGATATGTTTATAAATCAAAAAAATATTTTTAAATTTCTGTTATCCCCCTGAGTTCTAAAACTTCAAGGGAGTATTGTCTTTATTATGTCATTTTATGTAACCGTTCTGCTGTACAAATTCAGATTACATTTCTAAAGATGGTACATGAAAAAAATATGACTCGATTATCCCATTGTTTTATTAGTACTGTAAGTGGTAATCACTATTAAAATGTGTTTGTTTGGGTTTTTTTCCCGCAGTCCAATACAACAGTTTTTTTTTTTCCTAGGGAGAAACTAAATGCTGGGTGAAATAAAGAGATTTCAATTTAATTTGGTAAACACAGTATTCTAAGTTCCATCTTTATATCAAGTCAGATCATGGGAAAACAACACATTTAAACCTTATTAGTTTGTTACCCGTAGAAACACCTCCAGAGAAATAGGAGTTACTCAGTTGCTCAGTTTTTAAAAATAGGGATCTCATGGTGAAGTTCCCTAGAATTTAGAGCCAGTAAAAAAGTTTTTCCTTGGAGATTTGGCATGCTTTTACATGAGAACCCTTTGCCTTGGTTGCCAGAAATCTCAGTGCTAAATTTAATACCTACTGTAGGTGAGTTAAATTATCTCAAAATGGGGATAAATAAATGATTAATAAATAAGCAAAACTATCTTGCATTTGATTTATTATTATTTCTCTGTACAGAAATTATTAGAGTTGGAGACAATAAGAAGATTCATCAGGTTGAACTCATTCCAAATGATCAGCTTGTCGCTGTGATCTCAGGACGAAATCGTCATGTACGACTTTTTTCCATGTCAGCTTTGGATGGGCGAGAGACAGATTTTTACAAGCTGGCAGAAACTAAAGGGTGTCAAACCATAACCTCTGGAAGGGTGCACCATGGAGCTGTCACGTGCCTGTGTGTGGCTATGAAAAGGCAGGTCCTCTGTTATGAACTATTTCAGAGCAAGACTCGTCACAGGAAATTTAAGGAAATTCAAGTCCCGTATAATGTCCAGTGGATGGCAATCTTCAGTGAACAACTCTGTGTGGGATTCCAGTCAGGATTTCTGAGATACCCCTTGAATGGAGAAGGAAGTCCATCTAGTCTGCTCCATTCCAGTGACCACACACTATCATTTATTGCACATCAACCAATGGATGCCATCTGCGCAGTTGAGATCTCCAGTAAAGAGTACCTGCTGTGTTTTAGCAGCATCGGGATATACACTGACTGCCAGGGCCGAAGATCTAGACAGCAAGAACTGATGTGGCCAGCAAATCCCTCCTCTTGTTGTAAGATTTTCTTTCTTATGGCTGGCTTGTCTTTATGTTTGTTTCCTTTCTTTTTCCTTCTACTTTATCTTCTAAATGTAGTCATTATTAACGACAGGTTTTTTTAAAGTCATCCTTAAGGTTTTTCCTAAGTATTAATTATGTTGTTCACGTAACATACCCATATGTAGTTAGATCTGAGAGGACAGGGTCAACATTAACATGCACAAAATTGAAATTCATCTTTCTGTGGAATATTTTACTGAGATGGATTTTTTTAATCCCATGTTGTTATATTTTGAAATAACCCTAACTAGTTATCTTCTTTGTCCCCCAAAATACAGTGCTTATAAGCCTCAGTAGCTCATAGGACTTATTCTGGAGAGGCAGTTACTTAGTGAATTATTTAATCAGTTATGTAAAGGTTTAATGTAGCATCTGTAAGAAGTATTTAGTGTTACATTTATATCTAGATAAGTAGACTTTTAAATGCTTATTTCACTCTCAAATATTAAGACATTAATAAATTATTGAATACTTTTAATTACTGAATACTTTTATTGAGTATAATTGTATTGAATTTTATAATTCAATTATTATTGAATGCATGCTATTTCACTGTATGAAATATAACAGTGAGTGAAACAGACACAGTCTTACCCTCACAGAGCATAGAGCTCAATAGATAGAATAAGTGCTATGACAGCAGTCCAAAGTTCTACAGAAGCACGTAGGAGGAGTATCTAATCCAAATGGTTTTGTGTTTAATGGCAGACACTTGAGCATGTTTAAGTGCAGAAGGGAAAGAGCCACTAGGGAACTACTAGGAAAAGCTGACTATATGGGAAGTACAGCAACTAGAGTACGATCCCCAGGAAGGCCAGAGAGGATGGGATTCACAACACAGGTGGAAGGATTATTTGGGGTTAAGAGGCGTGAAACCTCTTCTGCTTTAATAAGTTGGGAGGAGAAACAATGGGTCCAGTCAAGTTTAAAGGTTCAGTGGAATAAAGTTTAGGAGGGCAATACATGCTTATTATAAGAAAATTAGAAAATCTAGATAAAAAGAGCAAAAGAGAAATACCCCTAAGCCTACTCACCCAGACTTAACTATTTTTAATGATTTGTTTCTTCTGAAATATATACTCTTACCTGTGACATCATACACAGAATGAACGCTGGTCTGTAGCCAAGTCAGATAATTCAAAGTATTACTTCTAATGTGGAGTAAGATTGGAATATCTGACTTTTATGTATAACTTTGCCAATAATTCCATTTGTAACCTTAGTTTAGGCAAATCATTTAATCTATCTTTTTCTTATGTCGCCTTTTATTATATTCATTCTTTCAACAAGAATATGAGGGTGCTTCAGAAGTTCATGGAAAAAAAATAAAATTAAAAGATAATATAAGATAATATTGTATATTGAGCATCTATCCTTTTCATGTAACTGTGCTAAGATGCTTTATCATGAAAGCATCTAATGAAATTTCTTTATAGAACTAGTATTGGTCAAGGGAATGTCATACCCTTCGTGTTAACAGAATCCTTCTGTTTTATAATGGCTATATAATCTGAACCATGGTATATTAATTCTTCATTTATGATTTATGTTTTATTTACTTCAAAATGTTTTGATGTGGCTTTTAAATAATAACAATAGGATTTTGATGGAAATCCACTCTATAATTTTTCAGCATAAGCCTTTCAAAATGTTTTGGGTTTGATAGTTAAATGTAATGAGCAGGCTCTTCCGTCATTCCCTTGTCCCAGGTTACAATGCACCATATCTCTCAGTGTATAGTGAAAATGCGGTTGATATCTTTGATGTGAACTCCATGGAATGGATTCAGACTCTTCCTCTCAAAAAGGTAATTAAACGTTAAAATATGGGCTAAGGCAACAAATGAGCAAGTGAAAACACTAATGTGACTAGCTATTTTTCATGAATTTAGCATTTTCTGGCACACATAATTGGTACTTAGCTAAGAATAAGAAAATAGAAACAAAAATCAAGCTGGTTAATTTTATTGTAAGTAGCTCAACACTATACTGTTTTTATTACATTTAGTGTCTCTGTTTAAAGTGTAATTGCTGTCATAACAAACAAGTAGAATGTATCCTACAACCTAAAATGACAGAGTTATTTTCCACTTTTGGATTAAGGAGCTCTGAGAGTGTACATGATTATTTTTAGTTGTCACTGTTTTTCACATAATGGTATGCAGTGTTTAATCCTGTGAGGACAGACTTCACAGGCTAGAAAAGTGGTTGAACTTAGAACCAATACTGTTTGTGTTTCATGATTAAAAAATAAAGGCTTGACATTTTCCTGGTAAAACATAATATTTATCCTTAGTATCTCCCCATGTTTCCATAACATAAACAGAATTTTTACAAGTGTACAACTGCTATTTTGCAAAAACAAGGAGTAATAGTTTCGTATAAACGTATATGTGTAGCATGTATCATTAGTTAAGGGGTAGGGTTTAGAGGAACAGGTAAAAGAAAATAGCCAAGATCATCTATCAAAATATGCACCAGTTTTAAACCACATCAGCAATGAAAAAGGCTCTTGTACGTGCTGCCACACTATATAAAGCAACTGCAGATGGTCCTCTAGTTTGTAAGTTTGGGTTGGATACAATTAGTTTTCTGTTTTATTTTTATCATATAATTTTTGTATATAAAAAAGAATATATGACCTTTATGAAGCATAATAATGAACTGATCACTCATGAACCCACATCCTAACTTAAGAGCCAGAACATTACTAACGCCACTGCATCCGCCTCGGTACCTTTTGTCTCATACGCCTGCTTTTCCCCAGAGAAAAATCACTATCCTGAATGTTGTACTTATCATTCCCTTGCTTTTCTTAAAATATAGGATTGGCATATTTAAATATTCCTAAGTAATATATTGTTTAGTTTTGCCTGGTTTTGAGCTTTATAAAAATGTTATGAGGTATTATCTTGCCTGCCTTGTTTTCTTTACTCATTTACTGTGTTTCTAAGATTTATCGCTTTTCACAACCATAAAATATTCTGTTTGGGTGAATATGTCAGTATTTATCCATTCTCTGATTGTAGACATTTGAATTATTCCCTAACATTTTGTTATTGTCAATTTTGCATATGTGTTTTGGTGTATGGATGCAGGAGTTTCTTTAAGTCATATGCCTGGGAGTGGAATTGATGGCACATGAGGAATGTAATTGTTCCGCTTTAGGAGATAGTGTTATATTTTTTTCCATAGTATTTGAACCAGTTGACACTCCCATCACTATTACATAAGAGTTCTTTCTGACCCACATCTTCCCTAACTCTTCATGGTCAGAATTCTCAGTTTTTGTAGATAGTTATAGAATACTTTGTCACTGAAGTATTAATTTGCATGTCCCCAATTAAGTACGTGGTTGAGAATCTTTTGTATGTTTCTTTATCGTTCATATTTCCTCTTCTACATAGTGCCTGGTCCCATATTTTGCTCATTTTTCCGTTGGATTGGCCATCTTTTTCTTATTGATTTATTGGAATTCTTTATATATTGTGAATACTGGCTTAATAATGGATGTGATCAGTCTTGTTAATTGTTTGTGTCCTATCTGTTCTTTTGTATTTTACTGAACAGAAGTTATTAGTTTTAATGTAGTTAAATTTATCTTTCTTATCCTCTCCGTTTGTCTTTTTTTTCCTCTTAAGAAACTCTTTTCTACCTCAGGGTGATAAAGATATGGCCTTTATTTTCCTCCAAATTTTTTACAGCTTTGCCTATTGCATATATGTCTTTAATCCATTTGGAATTGATTTTTCTGTGTGTTGTATGAAGTAGGGATTCAATTTTATTGGTTTTATATAACCAGTTGCTTCATCACCATTTACTGACAGTCCTCTTTTCCCCAGTTATCTACCCTTTCATCTATACTATATGTGGGCATTTAGTTTTTGGTAGTAAGAAAGAATTCATAAGGCAGCTAGGTTGATATCTTATATAGTTATCTGGTCACTCATTGCTTTAAAAGTTATATTTAAGGTTTAAATGTATTTCTACTTATTTATTTATTTGCCCAAGATATTCTTGCTTTAAAATGTTATCATTATAAGTTTGTTTGTTCAAATTAGATATTATACCTTTCCAGTCAAAATTATTGTTTATTTTTTGTTGATTTTTCTGAGAGGGCTGTATTTTGAAGTAGATAAATGAAAGGTCTTCATAGTGTGTGCTTTATAAGTAGGCTACAGGCTTTATGATTTGATTTTTAAAGGTTTCGTTGAATTACTAATTGTATTTTTATTATTTTAGGTTCGACCCTTAAACAGTGAAGGATCATTAAATCTTTTAGGGTTGGAGACAATTAGATTAATATATTTCAAAAATAAAATGGCAGGTAAGAGAATACGTATATTAATAGGATTGCTTCAATGAAAATATTATCTCTAAGCTGATTGCCCAAGGTCACATGAGTAATAAGTGCCAGAGTCTAGATTTAAACTCAGAAGTACTTTGCTCCAAAGTCTGTGATCTTGGCCACTATCACACTCTTTTTTTTTTTTAAGTATGAAATACTTCACGAACTTGCATGTCATCCTTGCTCAGCGGCCATGCTAATCTCTGTACTATTCCAATTGTAGTATGTGTCCTATCGAAGTAAGCACTAATCACACTCTTTCAGTATTTAAAATAAACTACTGGACAAAAAGTCATGTAAGCTTGCATAGCTGTATGTAAGCAAAGTATTTGATTCTGACATACCTTGTTATCTTTCTGTGGAGTACCTGGGTAAATAGAGGAAGCATAGCTGAATATATCTTCTATACTTTCAATACTGTAGAACTTAACCAAAATTTGTAGTGCTAGAATTATGAATGCTCATCCAGAGTTTCAGTTTGGGACTTTGGGAATACATTCCTGTCAATGCAGAGGGCTTAGCATTTCTGAAGTGCCAATGACAATGTGGGAGGAAGCAGGGAAGAAGGGAAGTCACGGAAGTGCCCAGAATCAGGAGGGGGATGGAAGCCCTGGCTGTTACAGACAAGGGGAGGGCATTTGGTCAGTGACCAGGTACTGAGATGAGACTGTCCAATAGACCACACATATAAAATGTCAGGGAGACTCCACCTGTAATTAAATGTTGTTTGCCAGTTTGCCTGAACAGTTAAAATCTCACTTTTACAAAATATGGCCTCTTCTTTTTACCAAATATGGCCTCTTCTATATAATAAAGTCTTTCTCATGCCTTAGCAGTAAATTTCTGCATAACAGAGGTATTCGTATAAATCTATTGTGGTGGATCTGTTTAGTGAAGATTTACTTATGATATATTATGTATTTAAAATAATAATTTAAATTGACTTAAGCATAAGTAAAAACATTGTTTTCAAGAAAATACATTGATATGTTTATACTAAAATGAAAAGTTTGTACCAGTTATCTTTGGGGAGTGGGATTGTTATCTTCTTGATACTTTTCTTTCCCACCCCCATTCCTCCAATAAATTTGTATGTTCTACTACCAAAAAAAAAAAAAATCCATCAAAAGTTTACTTGTTTTTTATTGTTTTTATTTTGTTTTTAAGTACTGAAATACACAAATTGCTTGGCTTTGGTACGTTCCCTTGGAACCAGAGGTTTCTTGGTTTACAGACTGGAGACTGTAGTGGAAGGCTATGTAAAGAAGATGTCCCAGTATCACTTGAGAAAGGATATTCAGGTTTTAACAGTGATTCCCCCTCCATCCAAGATGGATTTGTGAAGCTAATGAAACTTGAGTTTTGGTTTCTTTACGTCCAAGATGCTATACTTAATTTACTCCAGATATTTGTATAAGATTGGATCCACCTGGTTCTCACCGTATGTGTGACCATTCTGCTCATAAAGTGTGTCCGTACCCATTTTGTATCTGTAGGACCAAATCTATTCCAACTTGTCTTTTCCCATGCGTCCATCTTTCTGCTGTAGGCTAGGAGTAGAGGAGGAGCCTGGAGAAGGAAGACCTGACAGAATTTCAGTGATAAAGGAAGGAAATCCCATTTCCAAGAGTCTTTTCTTTTTCTGTGTCTTGCTTTCTCCTCCCAGGAGGTCAAAGTGCTCCCACAGCCCTCTGGCTGTCCAGAACCTCCCGTTGCCACCATAACTCACAAGACCTGCTTTACCCTTGTAATTCTCAAATTCCAAAATTGTGTCTCACATTCTCACCCACTTTAAAAATTCTGTCCTTTTGATATTTGTCATCAGGAAAGCAATGTGATTAAGCCTCGTTATTACACAACATGGAGAATGTTGCTTTTCTGCTCATCGTCTGCTTTGGCTTCTTCCCACCTCATCCTCCTCCCTTCCACTTTTTGGGTGTTAGAAACTTCTAAAGAATCGCATCCTCTGTCGTGTTATATGGACACAGTTATCTATTTTATTCTTAGAGTATGTTCACTTAGCCCAGCATGTTTTGGGAGTCCCTGACTAACAGTTTTGTTTACTTCTAGATATTAAAACTGTAACAGGATGAGATGGGCACTGGGTTGCTAGGTGTGTACAATTAGATATCCTCTACCCCTGAGATCAGGAAAGTAGAGATAGCAGCAGATTCTTACTGTTAGTGAAAGAAGATAGTGGGAGCACAATTGCTTTTCCTGATTCCACATCTCACAGATTTAATCTTGCAAAGGAAACATTTTGTTTCGCAAATGTAATTTTAATTATTATTTAGATAAATAGCTTACCATTTATGCCTGATTACTGTTCAGGCTGACAATAGCAACACTTTTACACCCTAAGCAGTTGAAACCAATACCTGGAGGGAGAGAGAAGATAGTATAGACATGCTGGGGGTGGAGTTGGCTAGTCAAAGTGACAGGACACCAAAGCAAAGCTTCCACAGTTTCCTCTGGTAAAATTGTGTCATTTTCTTTTTATACTCAAATATAAGAGAAAATATATTGTGTAAGTTATGTTTAACTTCAGCATATGTCTGTTTATATATATTTTATTGAAAATTATTGCTTATTTACTGCGATTATCAATGCACACCTTAAAAAAATCAGCAATGCATACACTTGTACAATTGATTAACATTTGTTCTCTCTTGGAGATTAATGGATAAAAAGCATTTTAGCAGTTTAAATAGCATCATTGTTTTTTGTATTGCTTTTTTAACAGAAGGGGACGAACTGGTAGTTCCTGAAACATCAGATAATAGTCGGAAACAGATGGTTAGAAATATCAACAATAAGCGGCGTTATTCATTTAGAGTCCCAGAAGAGGAAAGGCTGCAACAGAGGAGGTAGACACTTGATTTACGCTTACTCTCCATACATGCTTGTAGCATCTGCAGGACTACTTGGTGGTAATACTATATTTGATTTGGAAGGAAGATTTATCTGAAAAATCTGTCATTCATTTGTGGTGTCAAAACTGCAATAGTGAATGTAACTTCTGTGTCATTTAATTAATACTGTCAAAATTTTAAGTATGCACTGGATTAAAGTATCATATTTTGATTCACTTCTGTATGTACATGGAATAGTTATAATTTTTAGAATATGTTCCTTTCTACAATATAAGCATAGAACAGATCTGTGCATATAGTAAACCTGCATATGTTTAAGAAGTTCAGATTAACTGCTGTCTTCATGAGCAAACAGAAATAAGCATATAGTATTTCCAGTTACATAAGTAAACATTTCTAAACTGTTACCAATTGTTTTAAAAGGCATATGTAAAATGTTCAGAATTATCTGTAAAATAGAGTTTCTTTGATGTCTAAGTATTAAAAGGACCATCCCTATTTTCCCACTCAAAAGCATAAGATCTTTTATTTAAAATTTAAAACAAAACCTTCTAAGGAAGTGAATTTTTAATTGAATATATTATGTTATTCTAATTATATTCTTGGGCTGGCCAGTTAGCTCAGTTGCTTAGAACACAGTCTTGTAATGCCAGGGTCAGTGGACTCAGATCCCTATATTGGCCAGCCGCCAAAAACAAAACAAACAAAAATCTGAAATCTAATTACATTCTTATTAACATGATTTAAGTTTTATTTTACTAAAAAAGGAAAAATAAAATATGCTTAGTTTTTTTTTAAGTTATCTAGATTGTAGAAAAAATGTCTAAACAGGTGTTTTGTCTTTCAGGGAGATGCTACGAGATCCAGAAATGAGAAATAAATTAATTTCTAACCCAACTAATTTTAACCACATAGCACACATGGGTCCTGGAGATGGAATACAGATCCTGAAAGACCTGCCCATGGTAAGAGGAATGAAGAGTGAATGTGAACGTGGATGGGGTGAGACGCCAGGTGGTGGGGATACGTATGTATAGGCTTGAGTACATATATAGATAGACTTCAAAGGATATATTCATATAGTAAGGAAATGCTTCTCTCAGTATATCACAATATATGATGCATGATGACATACCTGATGAAAAACAAAATTTAGATATCTGTCAAGTTGAAAACCAAACAAATCAAATTCCTAGTTTCATACCCTAGAAATTTCTCCCATACCTAGATTTACTGTTGTTGGTGGAAGAAACTGCCAGATTTGGAGAGGTTCCATACCAAGTTGGTATACTTGGTTACTAAATCACTAAAATTTCACTAAGCTTTAGCAAATTCAATACAGATACTTGGCCTTTTATTTTTTCTTTAGATAACCATATTAGCTTGGTCATTAATGGTGACACCTCTCAGCTAATTGTGAAATTAAATATTTTTTCCTTGTCCATTTATGAACATGTTGCCTGGTCAATCACGTATAAAAAATACAACATAGGAAAACTCTTGTGTTTTAGCAATGTGAAGATTGGATTCTCAGACCTGTTATGTTGAGATTGAGAGTGTTAGTGGAATAGTTTTCCAGGTTCTGTTTGTTTTTAGCATTTCAGTATCATAGTACTCTCAGCAAACTATTAAAACTTTAATATGACCCTTTTGATCAGTGGTGATAGCAACTAAATTTTGCACAGCTATTTTAAGTATAATTTATATTTTATGGCAATTTGTGAGATGATTTGTGAGTCTTGACCCAAATCCCTAAGGAAATCTGTCTTAATTAACCACATCATCAACACTACTGTGATAGAAGATACAAACATCTATCACTAACAGAGAGAAAATGATAGGTCATATAGTTTGATGTGCATTCAAGTTTTTTACAACAAAAAATTAAGCTCTTAAAAAGAGTTTTGCATTTATTCCATGGGGAGAAAAAAAAGTCTGCATTCATTTGAATCCAAATTCTTCATTGTAAATATCCCAGCTAATCAGTTGGCCCTGCTTGCTTATGAATGAATGTGACATTCTTATTGTTGTTATTTTTCCGTCATGAAGACAGTATTATTACATAGTCATAGTAATAATATTCCTTCCTCTGTGGAGTTGAAATCATTCACAATAGTCACTTACCCTTTTGGGACAGGGATTGTCATTAGCTGTGCTGAACAAATATAAATAAAGTATATAAAAACTAGATTATAGCTGATCATATGTAGTAAATAAAGCTAAGTTAAAAATTTAAGGTTGAGCACATGAAATATTAAAACTATTCTGCTTGTCTACCATATTTAAAATCTATACCTTTTTCACTTTTTGCCTAGGAGTGAGATCTCAGATTTCTCTCCATTCTTTTCCCATTCCGAACATTTGGCTGATGTTCCAGAGTCCTTTCAGACCTTCATATACAATAAGGTTATGCATTCTGACACTAAAATGTCAAATTTCAAACATTATAAGAACTTTTATATCAGAACATCCCTCTTAACTCTACTCTTTCTTCCCGTTCTCCCACCACTTAAAGTAAAAGAAACATGTATTTTATTTGTTGTTTGAAATAAGGTCTAGTCTTTATTACTAAGCAAAACAAGTTCAGGTAGCATTTCCCAAAGATTCATTCGCCGGCTGACTCCATAACACATGACCTCTGTGCTGGCTGCGTATTCCAGTGAGACCTCTTGATTTTCAGTACTTGTTGTCACTTGATTTTGTTAACTCATTACCACCTCGTTGGGTTTTTTTTTTGTCATTAACACAAGTGACTTTTTACCCTAGTAATTCAATTCAGTTTTTAACGTACCTTCCATTCCTGTCACGTTTTCTTATCGTATCAGTGCTTTTATATTTCCAGGATGAGAAGTTGGTGCAAATTTTTGAAACCTGTTTCTTCACCTGTACATGTACATCAAAGATTTTATGTGTCTGAATTCCTATTTTTCACAGCCATATTTTTTCTCATTCCACTACCAAAGGACGTGTAAGCTGTTTTATAGACATTCATTTAATCACCTAACCAATATTTCTTGAGGTCTTATTATGAACCATGCTTATCTCAGGGTAGACATTGGTAAACAATACGATAATATGCATGTCTGAAAATAATGATAATATGCATGTCTGTACCTGTGTATGTATCTACTTGTTGAAAAGCTTGTGATATTCTCAGATTTTAATGTTTTTTACATTGAAACGGAATTATTATGAAGTATTTTTTTAAAAAGATACTTATCTAATGTTAACATATATAAGAACTTTCAAATAGCAAAGCCATGTGTTGTCATCTGTGCAAGAGCATGTACCCCAGACATTTTTATGTTTTAACTTACTAAAATCAGTATTGCTTTCCTGTGAAATACTTATAAGCTTAGAAAGTTCATTAGAAGTCTTTAGAAGCCTAATTCTGTTTCTTTTCTACCAAATGATTCTGAAACAGGATTGTTTGCTTCTTGAACATGGAAGGGGCAGTAAGGCTAAGGGAGAGATTTTATTTTCTTATCTCCTATATCAGATGTGAAGCCTTCATTTGTATCTTAGTGAGCCAAGAAAATATAAGCAATTAATATAAGATAATGTATATGTCTTAGAAATATATACTGTATTAGTTTTCTTGAATCTTCTTTATCATTTACCCATTTTTGTAAGTGGTTGCTTATAGTACAGAACAAATTTTGCTCCAATTGAATGCAAGAATAGTATTTTTACCTCTAGAAGATTTGCTTTTAGCATATTACATTTCTCCTAGCCTTTTACCCATTCCTAAAACCGTTAATAACGATAAAATTTCTAGCACAGTGACCTCTTGGGGTTTTTAAGAACTAATTTTGCCTCTTAAAGTCAAAGTTACATATACATCAATAGTTTTTGTGGTTTTTTTTTTTTTCTTTTTGGAAACAACCTTTTAGAAAGTACTGATTTCACTTCCATCACTAAAGTAAAAGCAATATCTTATATGGGAGCCTTTCTTTTAAGCCTAGATAATTTGAGTTCTTTCTATAAAGCAAGCTCCTCTCAACTCATGGGAATATGAATACCATGCTGGATTCAGTCAGCTCTCTCTCCAGCAAATTATTCATCCTGTGCCTCTAATGAAGGGATTGTGCTTTCTGGAAACATAGTTGTTCTTCAAGAACTGAACCTTGACAATCCCCATTAGAGGAGGTGACTGGCTGCTGAGTGACAGTTTCCGAATATTCAGAAGTAATTATTTTATCTGAAAAGTTAGATTCTTTAGTTTCAAAAGTCTTTTTCTGTATCTTTGGTATTATAGTCCATATTTCATTTTTAAAAAATACACCTGAATATTGAGGGAAGATTTTTCCCTTGTTATAAAAACAGACATGTTCTTTTGGTGTCTAGATGAATAAGCTTGGGCTGCTTAAAGGTAAACCAATAACTAGTATATTTCATAGATACTATTTTTGTTATAGGGAAATAAGATCAGTAAAAGCAAACATATACCACAGTTTACAAATACTGGGAAGTGGCTTTAAATGTTTTTAGATTTCTAAAGAAACAGTTTCATAACACATGTAGTTAGAAGCTATTGTGAGTTCACTTGTCCTTAACTGTTTCTTGCTTTTTCTACCCTTAATGTTTTTGGCAAATTTTTGCTATGTTTGATTTTATCACATAAGAAAATACTAAACTAAACTCTGAAAGACTCCTTGTATCTCGGGAAGTCCAATTTCTTTTTTTTTTTTTTTCCTTCCTTTTTGTCTTTTTTCATGACCGGCAACGGGATCGCAACCCTCGGTGTCGCGCCTGCACCGCGCTCAACCAGTGAGTGGACCGGTCTCTATATGGGATCTGAACCCTCGGCGGGAGCGTTGCCACACTCCCAAGTGCCGCACTCTACCGAGTGCGCCACCGGGCTGGCCCGGGAAGTCCAATTTCTAGTCACTTAACTATAGTAATAAAAGAATAACTCTATAAGGAGAATGGTCTTTTGCAAACCAGCTATTTAAGTAACTGGCAAGATGATTATAAAATTTAACTTTCTAAGGCCTAAAAGTATTTCATGAAGGATTCAGTGCTGACATAAGATACTACTTTATTTTTTCTATATGCATGCTGTCTGAAATGTCACTTATAACCAGTGAATACATTTTCATCACTTTATTCCCTTTTTTCTCCTTTGTGTTGTCTTCGATAGCCAGGTTTCCTTTATCCATCCCCTCATCACCGCCCCGGTCTCATCTCCTCTCCGATCAACTTTGAGCACATCTATCACATGACTGTTAATTCTGCTGAAAAATTTCTCTCTCCTGATTCCATAAATCCTGAATATTCCCCGTCTCTGCGCTCTGTCCCTGGTACACCAAGCTTTATGACTCTGAGGGTATGAACAGCTGAGTCAGGGGATAACTTTTACTAACCATGTGCAGATTTCCGTTGCCTGGCTTAATACGTAACCCTGCTGAGGTGGTCCCGTTTTGTGAAGGTTTTCCTTCGGCTGTTTCTCTTCTGCCAAACTTTTACTGTTTCTCTTCTCCTTTATTTATCTTACTCTTCCTCCTCTTCCAGATTTATTTTGTTTATTCTTTTAAGGAAAAAGGTGGAAGAATAGGAGGATTTCAGCATTTATTTTTGAAACAATATTGGAGGTTTATCTATGTTTAATAAAAGATTTTCCCGTAGTATTTTCCATTACAGTACCATCATGAGAAATATTCCTTGAGTGGATCTTTATTTTGTTAAACAAAAGAGGGCTCCCAGAATTTCTGAATTTTTATAGCTAAATAAAACCCTAAAACCAGTTCAATTTAGAGAAAATTTTTATATTTAGTGAGGTTAAAAACCGTGGTAGAGCCTATCCACCGACCTTCTATCTACCAAAAAAAAAAAAAACAAAAAAAACAAAAAACCCCTTTTTGAAAAGATTAAAAATCTCCAAAGTGAAAGTATAATACTATTAATGAGTAACAGGAAAAATTCCAAAAATAAAGTAGATTTTACTGATCTTTGAGTTGCAGAT